TATATCTTTTGTTCTAAGACCATTGTCATAGAGTTTTTCTACCAAACCTAGATCATCATCATCAAGTTTACGAATAACAGTACTAAACTTTGTAGCACTCAAGCAAATATCATAATTGTGCTCCAGACATGACTTCGTTATAACATATTCATTAGTATGCTTGTGGTAATTTAATCCAATTGCAAATGGGCATCCAGTACGCTTGGTAATAAATTCTTCATTTTTTCCACCATATTTTCCTTGTTTTTCACATACAAACAATGCCTGTCTATAACTATTATCAGAGTTTTTTGTAGTTTTTCCTAAGATTATGACTGAATTTGTTTGCATTGCATATTTTTCAATTGTTGCATGAGCTTCAGCAAATGTTGTAAAGGGACAACCAGATTCAACAATGCTTGTATCTATTGGCAAATTATTTTCTAATTTGCCCAATGACAAATTATTTTTTAACATGTCTATTGGCAAATTATCTTTTAACAAATACTTTTAACAGCCCGAAACGTGATGTCTTATATATTATCAACCTATTCACAATTTCACGACCTATTAAACAATAAAGTAACTTTATTTTAAATCTTATCTCAAATGGAATTAACTTCTTTTTTAAAAAAAGAAAATTTTGGTTTACCATTCGTCATTTTTTTTTGGATCTTTGATCTCCTAACTCGGTTATTTATCCGTGTGTTATGATTAGGAAGAATTTTGTACAAATGCAAGTGTGGAAAATTATGCTTCACTTTTACCGTGTCGTCCACTAAATTTATTGGTTATTTCCTAATTCAGGTATCCTACTCATGTTATCGGAAAAAAGCTTGTACAAAGTGCAAAAAATTATTTCCCCTTTTGTTGTTCTCTATAAATTATTTTCCGTACAGTATAAGATTGGTACTGATCGTAGAAAAAAAGGGTTAATTGATCGTGAAGTATTTATAAATAGATACAGATCTATTTTGGATCGAGAATAAAAAGCAATATCTAACTGTTAAACGAATAATATATTATTAAGCTGATTGCCTGTGAAAAAATGCTTGTATATTTAAACTTGGCCGTGAACAAGAAAAGCTAACTAATTGTTAAAGTGTATTTATAGGACTTGAAATGATATTAATTACGTAATTACTCAGTAAAGATAAATGTAAGTTACTAATAGAAAATTATAGTAATCGATAGTGTAAAGCCACGTATTTGATAGTTTATTCTACGCGATTTTATTGGTCAATCCGAATTGATATACATAAGGTTACACGAAATCGATGTACATGAAAAATTGCCGATTTTTTTATTCATTTTTTTGTTATTAGCTGTTTAGACAATGCTTTGATAGACCATTTGCAATTTATTATTATTTATTGGAATTAAAATATTATTGGTATCTTTAATTAATTTTTCTTGCTAAGTAGCTTTTTATGCATTCACTGATACTTGACTTTCTTTACATGCTGAAAGTTTTGTTTAGATACCTGTAGTATTTTGCCTATAATTACGATTGATTTATTTTAAAATGTTGAACTTACTCTGTGATTATTACAAACAATTCTAAAAGGTTATAATATAATTACATTTAATCTTTATTGGTAAGACAAGTCTTTGATCGAATATTATTGATCTTTAAAATGATTCAACATATCGTCAAAATGCGAAATTAACTCGCAATTTTCACCAGTTGTTTATATGAAGTCAAAGAATAAAGTTACGTTCCAATTTCTTACATTAATATGTAGTTTTGGGTATTCATCTTATAGAATATTTGAAA